CCGCAAAGTGGCAAGGTGAATACTTACGACAAAGAATGCGGGAAAAATGGGAGTAGGGAGATATAACTTACCCAGCTTGGAGGATTGTACATGGAGAATCCATCCCGTGGCTTGATGCGGGTGAACTCCTCTTCCTCACCCTTGAACATTTCGGACAGAATTTTCGCCAAAGCGGCAGCATTGTCCGGACCCTTACGCCCGCAGCGGGTGGCGTCATCCGCCCCGTTATAACACCACAAGGGGTGCCCATGATATTGAAGTGGTTGCACTCCCCGCATTATGCAAATCGACATCACTTCGATTACCGTCAATCCTGATCGAGCCAGTGCTTTAATTCGGTTTATCAGATAGAGGACTTCTCCATTGTCTTCCACTTGGGGGCTCCGTGGGCGCCAACTTCGGCGTTTCTTCAGAGGAGCATTGTTGAACTCAGGAAGACCCCGCCGAATAGGGTCTAGAAGGGGAACGTCCTCCATATAAAACCATTCTGAAGGCCAGTCTTCGGGTGACTTCTTCGGAGTACCGGACAGGTATCCGGTATCGGCGATGCGCCATATTTCGGCTCCGCCCACTTGATAAAGTGACCCCCTCTGTGTGCAAGGGACGAGGCAAAATAGCCTTTTCCACAGCTCGAAGTGAGCCTCGCAGCCCAGGAACAACTCGCAGAGAGCCACATAGCCGGCGATATGTAGGATGGAGGCAGGGATGAAATTGTGTAATTGGAGGCCGTAGAACTCCAGGAGCCCGCGGAGGAACGGATGAATTGGAAATCCGAGTCCCCTTAATAAATAGGGAACAAGGCAGACCCGTTCCCCCATAGAGGGACAGGGAAAGCCCTCCACTTGCTCCCCGCCATTATAGGTGGCAAGCCCGGCTCGAACGGGCACCATGTACGCCGGAGGGAGAAATCCCTTAGTCTGCAGTTCGACTAAATGACTGTGCGGGACTGAACACCTCTCCCAATCACCGGGCTTAGGGCTTCGGGGTGGGAGGAGAAGCTGCGGAGGTCGGCCATGCTGGAATGGATCTTTCCGGAATGCGCTCTGATGGACTCTCGCTGGAGGAGGATGGTATGGATCGGATCTAAGGATCCCCATCCCTTTAATAGACAATTTATTTATCTGGCTAGGGGGCGAATGTAAAAACGCCCTGGCGCCTCGTATTCATTCGACGCGTGGGAGAAAGCCCTTATTGGGCACATAAGCCAAGAGGTCCAAAACATTTATGGGACCGGACACTGCTTTCCAAACGTTCGAAAGATGAAGAAGAACCCGCCTTGCAATGCCGAAGACAATAATGCGCGCCGGACTCATCGTCATTGAAGCCTGGTTCGGGGCTACTGAGGGAGTCCTGGATTAGGGGGTATCCGGACAGCCGGATTATATCCTTTGGCCAGACTGTTGGACTATGAAGATACAAGATTGAAGACTTCGTCTCGTGTCCGGATGGGACTCTACTTGGCGTGGAAGGCAAGCCAGGCAATACGGATGTGTATATCTCCTCCTTTGTAACCGACCTTGTGTAACCCTAGCCCCCTCTGGTGTCTATATAAACCGGAGGGTTTTAGTCCGTAGGACAATAAACAATCACACCATAGGCTAGCTTCTAGGGTTTAGCCTCTCGGATCTCGTGGTAGATCAACTCTTGTAATACTCATATCATCAAGAATAAATCAAGCAGGACGTAGGGTCTTACCTCCATCAAGAGGGCCCGAACCTGGGTAAAACATCATGTTCCCTACCTCATGTTACCATCCGCCTTAGACGCACAGTTCGGGACCCCCTACTTGAGATCCGCCGGTTTTGACACCGACACCAGGTGACATTAGGCATCTTGCCCACCATGGCGCCTCCGCACTTCGCTTGCTGTCCGACCACCACCTTTGGTTTGACATTGAAAGTCCTCAGCCACAGGCCGAAATGGGGCTTGATACGGAGGAAGGCCTCGCACACGACGATAAACGTCGAGACGTTGAGGATGAAATTGGGGGCCAGATTATGAAAATCCAGCCCGTAGTAGAACATGAGCCCGCGGACAAACGGGTGGAGGGGAAATCCCAGCCCGTGGACAAAATGAGTAAGAAAAACTACCCTCTCATGGGGTTCGGGCGTTGGGATGATCTGCCCCGCATCTGGCAACCGATGCGCGATATTCGCGGCCAAATATTTGGCTTCCCGTAACTTTTTGATGTTCTCCTCCGCGACAAAGGAGACCATCCACTTGCCTCCTGCTCCGGACATGCTTGAAGTGGTTTGAGAAGAAGAATGTGAGCTTGTGCGCTAGAGCTTGAGTGTGCGGGAATGGGTAAGCAAGGAGGAAGAAGGCGTGGGTGAAAAGAGTAAATCCTTGTCCCTTTATAAGGGCGGAAGAGGCGATGCGTCTCCCCACTTGCCTGGTAAAACCGCTTATTCCCCAGGCGCCGTAATTGATGGCGCGGATGGGTTACCCATGTCCGTATTGATGAGAATTCTGTAATAAGGGGGACACGATCTCTGCTTTGACAAGACGTGACAGAAAAACCATCTCGCAATATGCGCAGTGCTGGTTGAGAAAAACGGTTCAGATAAGGACCGGGCCATGACGTGATGTTGTGCTACCAAAACGTGTCAGCAAAATAGATTTATGGAAATATTATTCTCTTTACGGTGGGGTGTGGAACTTGTTTTGCAAAACCGGACACTATCTTTGTGTTCAAAAATCTTCCATGAAGTATTTGGAGAAGAACCCGCCTTGCAATGCCGAAAACAATACTGCGCGCCGGACTCGTCGTCATTGAAACCTGGTTTAGGGGCTACTGAGGGAGTCCTGGATTAGGGGGTTTCCGGACAGCCTGACTATATCCTTTGGCCGGACTGTTGGACTATGAAGATACAAGATTAAAGATTTCGTCCTGTATCCGGATGGGACTCTCCTTGGCGTGGAAGGCAAGCTAGGCAATACGGATATGTAGATCTCCTCCCTTGTAACCGACCTTGTGTAACCCTAGCCCCCTTCGGTGTCTATATAAACCGGAGGATTTAGTCCGTAGGACAACATACAATCATACCATAGGCTAACTTCTAGGGTTTAGCCTCTACGATCTCGTGGTAGATCAACTCTTGTAATACTCATATTATCAAGAACAATCAAGCAGGACGTAGGGTATTACCTCCATCAAGAGGGTCCGAACCTGGGTAAAACATCGTGTCCCCTGCTTTCTGTTACCATCCGCCTTAGACGCACAGTTCGGGACCCCCTACCCGAGATCCACCGATTTTGATACCGACAGCGACCTTGGCCGCAGCCTCCCTCCTGAGCTCCTCGACCGGAGAAGGACTGCGCGATCTCTTGCACTGCGCCGCGACGTGCCCCGACAGCCCACACCGAAGACAAACGACCTCATTGGTGTAGTCCTTCAAGAAGTGACCTTTCGTGAGGCACCGAAAGCACTTGTCACACATCTCCGGCAAAACTTCCTTACGGGACGGCGACGAGCGGCGCAAGACAGGCGCGGGCCGCTCCCCATCGCGCCGCCGCCGCCACAGGGACTTCTTGGAAGCAGGGGCCTCTTGCCATTGCGAGATCCGCCTGGTCGAACTCGCCACCGCGCCCACCACAACCGGCACCGCCTGCACCTGCTCCGCCGCAGAACTCTCGGAAGCCGACGAGATGCCCAGCCCGAAGACAACCGGTCGCTCCCCATGGAAGGACGAGGGCATTGAACGCAGGCTCTCCGTCATGGCGCGCACCGCTAACGAGGGGAGGCGGGGAGCGGATGGGACGGGGGTGGAGTGGCGCGCCGGCGAAAAGACCGGATCCGGGGTAGTCGCCGCGGCCGGAGTGACGTACGGCGGGGAGCTGGACGCCGGCGCCGGAGTGACGCACCGCGGGTTCTCACCCCATCTAGCACATTCTCTGCGCCACGCATCAGTTCGTCCCCTCCTTAGACCTGACCTGGACGAAACAGCCGCCCCGACAGCGTCGACGTCCAAACAAAGCTTTTGCAGATCCTCCCGCGCTGGAAGCCCGCAACCCGCCTCCAAAATTTCTCCAGGGAAACCGCCCCCAAAACCCTCTCCCCCGCTCCCTTCCTCCGACCAAACCGCCCCCAAAATTTCTTCGAGAATGGGGCGCCGCAGCCTAATCATCACCGACTCTGACGAGGAAGATGCCGCGGCCACTCCTGCCTCCGCCTCCACCTCCGTTTCCACCGGCGGCGGCGGAAGCGTCGGCCGCCCCTCGTCTCAAAACCCCAGCCCCTTCCTAGCCCCCTACACATTACCGTCCTCGCCTCCCCCCTCCCCTCCCGTCGAGATCTCCGATGACGAGGAGGAGGTCGA